AAAACTTCTCAACATTCATACATATTATTAATTGAAAAATAATATATATCAAAAATTTAAAAATTACCTTGTGTATTTGTTTATTATTATTATATTAGATAGGCCTCCGGTCGAGCCAATTAAAGTCCACCAATAATTCTAGATATGAAAGGGAATGAAATAATTACATAAAGTTATATGTTTCAAAAAGAAATTCATTTTTTATATAAAATTTTTCTAATTACTGGCCTACTAACCTGGTAGCACAAACTTGCATGAGTTGAATGTATGTCACTCCATCCTGTACAAATTCTGGTATAAGCTACTATACTGGCCACCATATATAGCATTACTGGGGTTTTTTTTTGAATGTATGTCAAACTTGTAATTGGAATTGTGACCACTGAGGAAGGCCCTTTGGGGTGCCGAAACGCGTTTGGTTCAGTTGCACAGCACTAACCCATCTATGTATGAATGTTGAGAAGTTTTTTATGTCTGAATGGTATATTTTTAATGAGTCTAAGTTTTAAAATGTGTACACCTGAATAAATTTTGTATTTTCATAATATTTAGTGTCAGCTTAACCCTTGTGGATCCATAGCAACTTTTGGGGTTGAGTTTTCTTTCCCCCCCCCTTTTTTTCCTTCCCCCTTCCCTTCCTTTTTGTGTGTATCTGTAAGGTGCAAACCTATGATGACGCAGCAGCAGCAGAACTGGAAGAAGAAGCAGAAGACAGCCAGTTCCACTGTGGGCCTAATAAAAACCCTTTGGGGGCCTCATCCAGCCCCCGGGCCGCATGTTTGACACCCTTGAGCTAAGCCTTCTGGGCCTGTGGCCCAGTGGTAGAGCATCTGCTCTGCATTCACAAGGTCCTGAATTCAGTCTCCAGTTAAAAGGATCAGATAATAGGTGATGATTTAAAGTCCTCTCCCTGAGACACTGAAAGTCAGTATTGACTTCATAGACCACTGGTCTGATTTAGTATAAAATGTGATTGCATGTTGCTAAAGTTAACTAGTCATACCTTCTAATGCAAAATCAGTGTCTTTGGGGTTACATGATTCCCCCTCTTGAGTTGCTGCCATGTTTTTTGTTAGCTGTGGTGTGAAACAAATGAATATAGCTACATAAAGTAACTCAGCTACTCCCATTTTTAGGAGCTAGTTGGAGATGTTGGTTTGGTATGTGTATACTTCCCCTAATGTAACCAATATCCTGGTCTTCAGTACTGGAGCCTTTTTCTATCAGACACCTGTTCCTTCTAGCAAGACAATTTTCTGAAAAAGGTGGCTGCTTAGCTGACCTTTTCCTGCATGTTTTCCTTTTAATGACTGAAGGGTTATGTCATTACACACTGACTTCAGGCATGTTCTTTAGCATTTTAGACAGTTTGAAGAAGAGTGTGCTTGCATCTTTACCTGGGAATGTAGTTTCAGAAGGTGGTAAAGACAGCTACTCTGCCCACAATCTTTTCTGATGGGTTTGGTCATGCTGTGGGCATCTTGGGGCGCTACAAGGCCCCACTACAGTAGAGGCATATCTTGTTGCTTCTATCCACAGATCTGTTCCCCGAACCATCAGTCTTCACATTAAGACCATGTGATGTCCATTCTTACTGTAAATTCCAATAGTGGCTTCCTGTTACCTTCCATATCAGCACAACTCCTTGCTCTTGCCTTCTGGGCTTCCCAAAGCCCCTTTCTCTCTCCACTACTCAGATATTTTGCTGATGTCCAGCCACCCATTCCCTTAAGTAACTTGATACATTAAGTACCTCCCAGAACACTTTTGTGGTGTCCCCTTGGTTCAAATCTCTTTTCAAAACAGCTATCTATGGTTCAGTGTCAGTCCACATCACTAATTGAAACTAAGCCTACATTTCTGTGCCTACTTTTGCATTCTTATGCTTGCCTTCATCTGCATAAATAATGCTGAAACGTACTTGAGTGCTCAAATAGCTTCTCATGCAGTGCTGTTATAAGAATTACTGGATAATAAGGTAGCCCTATATTGCAAAAGGATTCAGGTGATGGTTACTTAATGAATTTTTAGTAGAAGTGAGATTTGAGGTAGACTTTCTAGTTTCTTCATTGACAGTTTAAGCTTCCTTTCTGAACCAGTATTTCTGAAAACAGAACTGGATCTAGTCTGAGGGAAAGTACCAAAAATGATCATTATTGAATGTAGTCATTTGGGCCTTTTATGCTTTGTTTCATACTTGAATTAGTCAGAAGAGGACAGAATAGTGCATGCATCTTTGCAGAGAATTACAAGAGGGAATTGCCTTATCTGGCCATAAGTAGCTACCTGTATACCACACAGTAGCTTCAGTAGCTGGATTTGCACATCAGTTAGCCAAAAGGAGTTGCTGTTTCCCCAGATCCAGATTGGAGTGAAGGTAATATTTGTAATTGTTATGTATCTTGCTGTAGATAGCCCATCTTGCCTTTAAGTCACATGTTGCAATGAGTGATGAATGAAACATCGTCTTCTCCCCCATCCCAGAACTGTTGTATTTATGGGCATCTGTCATTTACTTAACGTTTGTGAGGCTCGTGACTGCTGAATAGAGGCTGCTGTCAACACTTGCAGTATAGATGCCTGCCCATTTTCCAGTTCTTTCCCCCCTTCCTAGACAACAAAGCTTATTACTCAGAAGAGGAACGATGTAACCCGCAGCACGGAAGTCTTCTTGAAATCATGGGTGCAATCCTAATCTATTTTGGCCATTTTAAAATGGAGATGCTGGGAAAGTATGTATTCTTTTTGCCCAAGAAAAAATAATTTCCTGTAATCTCTGACAGTGAAGATTGGTTATTGCAGTTGCAAGAAGGTTTAACGAGTCCTTCCCAGTTGTTGGCTAGTCCCCCTCCCCAACAAAAGTAGCAGTTGATGCATTGAGGGCACCGAAGCAAGTCCTATTAAATTGGACCCAAATCAGTCTGCCTTGAAATGAGATTAGAGAATTTGCATGCTATATCTCCAACGCAAACCCTGGTGGCATCTCTAGTTAAAATTCTGATATACAAGGATTTAACCAGTCTGTTGTAGGCGGTTCTAGTCTCATGTTTAAAAAACAAATGTTGCATTTGGTGTGAACATGGAAACTGCTGGAGGCAGGCTAGAAGCAGTTTCTTCAGATGCTAAGGTGATAACCAGTATGGCAAATCTCCTTTTTGCTAAGACTTCAAGTGACTGTTTAATAGTTTTGCATCTTTTGCTGAAGAGGAAGCTATTTGGGAATGATGGGCAAGTTAAATGCATTGTAGTATAAACATGATTATGTCAAAAGTTCAAAGAAGGAAAAATGGAAGGTAGTACAGCTCATTTTACCTAATATTGTGCTTGTAAACCGAGTGTTGTCCAGAGATTAACTTTTATAGGCTTCTGCAGCAAGGAATAGGAAAATATCTGAGGAACTTCTTTCACTGCTTAATCTTAATTTACTGAATAAAAGAGCAGTTAATAAGAAGGATTAAGTAATTTGAGAGAATGGAATGTTAAAGGTAAAAATCTCACCTGCAGAAAACACTAAAACTGTACAGGATTTACACACTTACAATGACTTAATTTGGAAGGCTGAACACTGTTAAGAAGCCAAAAGGTGAAATCAGAGAGCAATAATCCAGTGTTTTATTTCTGGGAATCTTTACCCTGTGCTCTGAGAGAACTCTGCAGTGGTGTTCCCTACCAGGGATACAAATACCTTCACAAAAGCCAGCATCTTTTTAAATACAAGCATGACTTCTAGCATAAAAGAACTTGTTAAAGGGTGATTTTTCTCTTAGACATTAATACAATGAACAATGTTGTACTTACCTGGGAAAACGCAAGTGCCTTCCTAAGGCTACTTGGATTGAGTTTCACACATGCATTTACAGATGCAGCCATATGTGATGAAATACCACAGACTTCACTGCTAAAATGGGGCTTTCCTTGCTTTTATAACTAGCTTTTGAAATTAAAAGGTCAAATTTATATTTGAATGTCTGGAGTAATTTTAATATGGTTTAGCAAGATAGAAGAACAAGTATACATATTTTCAACTGCTTGGTTTGTTATACAAATTGCAATTTAAGTGTAAACCACTAATACAAGTGCTTTTTTGCCTAGTCTCACTCAGTTCTCCTTACTACAGCCTCCATCCCCCATGGCTCTTGTGTATAGAGATACCATGATACCCAGCATAACCTTTTGGATGGACAGGGGGATGCCTCCACCTTCTTTCACCAGCATGTACTCTGCCTTCTTTCACACATGTACATCTTTTGGAACTGGGATTTTCTTCCAGTCAATATTGGATGTACAGTTAGTGACAGACTTATGTATGTTGCTGTGAAATGCCTTTACCACTTGAGGAATTTGTCATGCAAATTGCGGTTGTGATAGAAGGACGTACTGGTGTACTTGGCCCTTGTCTGAACACTCCTCTTGCCATAAAGCTTACTACTGATGGTAATATAACATAGTCTGAGCTGTTGTATTCAGAATTTGTGTCTCCTGGCACAGCCCAGGATCAGTGGCAGTATAATGTGGCAATCAGATTGTTGGGATGAGCTGCCCCAGGAGATAGATGAGAATGGTATTGCCCCAGACCAACAGTGTTTTCCACTTCTAGATGTAGCAAGACTATATGATGCGAATAAGGCTGGATTGTGATATTACAAGGGCTGACCACTCAAGAGGCTGAAAATATTGTTCCTAGTCATCAGGAATTTTTTGAGCCCTAAATAGGTGACCCACTTTGTGTAGTCCTAATGCAATTTGTTGGCCAGGGAGCCATCTTCATAAGTTTAAACTTGCATATTTGGCAGTGAGATCAATGGGCTACATGGTAGGGTGTCCTGCCTTGGCCCTGGAGCTGTACAAACTGTTCTGCATATTCACAGCTGTGTTTATGCTTGGCACTTGCAATTCTCTTAATTCAGCCCTGAGCCTGAGGAGTGTGATGTCCCCAATGGAGAGGCTGGAGCCCACATCTCTATTCTCTTTGAACTGACAGTAGGAAACATCTCTTTCAGACAAACCTTCCTATTTTCAAATTGAAGGAATCTTGTGTCAGGAGACGATACAGTGACTTTGAATGGCTCCGAAGTGAACTAGAAAGAGAGAGTAAGGTAAGGCAAAATATCCAAGGGAACTTGGTAGCACTGTGGTTTGCTGCATGATCTCATTGCACAGGGATCAAAATGACTGGGGTGGATTGAAGGGCGGAGCTGCTCTGGACCTGGACTTTACAGTAGCTGTAGCATACAGTCACTTTAGTTTTCAGCATAGAGCTAATACTTTAGATCCTAACTATCTTTCAGGTTGTTGTACCACCTTTACCTGGAAAAGCTTTTCTACGCCAGCTGCCTTTTAGAGGAGATGACGGGATATTTGATTATTCCTTTATAGAAGAAAGGAAACAAGGGCTTGAACAATTCATAAACAAGTAAGTGTGAGATTCTAATTCTTGAGTTAGGGAAGGAGTTCAGTGATATGCATGGTCCTAGCAACAATGCGTTAAGCAGCATACAGTCACCTTGCATGTGCTGAAAAGTTATCTCATTTGATGTCTACCAGGACCAGGGGAACTTCTGCTAATGCGAAGCTCAGCACAAATTATTAACAACTCCTGAACTGTTTTCCAGGCTGAGCTGTGTAAGTGCGGTGAATATATAAGCTGAACAGTCTACAAATGCTTAACACTTGCTGCAGTGATTGAAGTATTTGTAGTGACCTGGGTTTTGTTTCAATTTGGCTTAATTTATGCAAATTGCTAAAATTACAGCATGTAAAGATAGAATCGTACAAATAAGGCTGGGGGGATGGATGGATAAGGGGATGTGCATTCCCTCTGAAGAACAGATCTTAATACTGCCTTGTAAATCTCTTATCATGAGCATTCCAGGATGTGTACTATCTATATATCTAATACCGAAAGGCGCCCCCTGCGTGCAGATACTTATTTCCGCACATCGGAGGCACCTGGGGGGGAGGAAGATGTTTGTTCCCACTTGGGGCAGTCCCCAGGTGTGCACAAAAATCTGAAACCTTTAAAAAATATATCGGGGGGATACTTAAATCCCCGGGCCTCGCTTTGGGGCCGGGGGGGGGAGAGCGGCGAGGCCCAACGGTTACAAGCTGTGCAGGCCTCGCTTTGCAGCCGGGGGGGGAAGGACCGATGATGCCCGGCGGCTGCAAGCCGCTCGGGCCTCGGTACGGAGCTGGGGGAGGAGGCGGGTAGGAGCGATCGAGTGGGCGGGGAGACGGAGGAATCGGCAGGATGGGGGGGAAGCTTACCTGCTCCTGCTGGTTCCTCCTCCGCCTGCTGAGTTTTGAGCTCCCCCACCCCCGCGAGTTTCGCGGGTCTTCTTTCTTGTAACTTTATATTTGCCTTTAATTTGGGGGAAATAGGTTCAGGGAATTTTGTGCTGCCTGAATATGAAGTGTTGGCTTCACTTCTACACAGTCAAGACTTGCTTACTGCCACACCTTGGCCTTGAATGTGACTCTCTGTTGGAGGTTACTGGAAGCTGAAGGATACAAGGAAGATGCCTAGTAGTTGTGACTGTCAAGCAGGCCCTGCATAGGCTTTCCAACCCCGAATAGTAGAATGAAAGAGCAGGTGGCCCCTTTCAAATACTGTTTTGCCCCATTTCCTTAAGAGAAAAATAGTTGTGCAGGTTTGAAGCAAGACAGGTCTGTGGCTGTGAGGTGACCCTGCCCTACTGCTAAGCTGTCTTCCTTCTAGCGCTTGAGAGGCCAACCATTCCTGGCTGCACTTACTGCATCCCAGCTGGCTCACATTTGGCAAAATTGGACCTGGACTTTCTAAAGCCAATGCAAACTCCCCCCCCCCCCAAGGAGGCCTTGGTCTCTGAAATTCATATGAAGAAAGTTCATTTAGACACAGCTGACAACTTAAACCTTTTGTTGGAGCTGAGATGAATTGTTCGAATTGAAGGCATTGATGGAAACACACCAGTCAGCTCTGATGCATGGTGGCTGTTCTTAGTGCTGCCATAATTTTAGCTTGATAGCATAACACATGCTTAGGCTCCTTCTTCAGTTAAGAAGCTTAGGTAGCAGGACCATAGAGGCTGCTGCTTGACTCTGCAGCAGAGTCTGAAAGCCGTTGCCATTGGACAGACTGCCTCTCTCTACCAAGGTTTTTGAGGGTCTCCTGATATCTGCTTAAGCCTAACTTAAGACAAAATTGTCAAAGACTCACCACTGAGCTTTTAGATATAGGTAGTAGTTTGTACCACACAGTGTGTATTAAGAATTTTTACTATGTTTTGTCCTCAGGAAAAAATAGTTCGGAATCCTGCTATAAATTCAAAATTCAACTGCAAAAACTCTTCTAAACTGGTGGTTGTGCTTTGTTAAAGATATAGTTGGCAATTATTTGTCACCTCTGAAATCTCAGGGGGAAAGTTGGGTCTGATGCAAGTGCTCTTGTTGTGTGGAATTATGAGAAGTTGGTCAGTGAACTACCTTTCTCAATGTAGAGAAACGATCCAGCTTCTGGGTGTGTGTGTGTGTACAAATGCAAGATACACGTTGCTTGTCTAAATGGAAAATTCTCATGGGAGTTTGGGGTAGGAAGACTTGAAACCATTGAGAGGAATAACCTTTACCCCTCTCTCTCTCTCTCTCTCTCTCTCTCTCTCTCTCTCTAGAGTTGCAGGCCACCCTCTGGCACAGAATGAACGATGTCTTCATATGTTCTTGCAAGATGAAGTCATAGACAAAAGCTACACACCATCCAAAATAAGACATGCTTGAATGCTGCACAACACTTAATGGCATAAATGTTAGTGATTACCACACTTGGTCTAAGACTTGTAGTTTAAGGTTTTAGCATGCTGCAGACAAACTGGCACAAGAAGCCTTCAGTATACTATCAGCACTGCTTGGTCTTTGCATTCATTTTATGGCATTAAAGATCTCTAAGCAAGTCTGTCATTTTTGATTAATTGTCCTTTTTAAAAAATCCAAATATTTTGAACCTCTTCCTTCCCATTTGCAATGACCTTGTGATGTTTACTGAGTTGGCCTTACTCAAACTTGCACTGCTCTGGTGTTGCACGTTCACTTGCATTTGATTAAGACACTAGAAGTTTCCTGTAAAATAACTAGTATTCAACCTGCAAATCTGAAAACTAACATGGTGCATTGTTTTCAATACCCCCTGTGTAAAATAAGCACTTCTGGTAGTTGTATTCTCAAGGTGGGGTGGGAGGGAACCTTTGTACTGAGAAGCAATGTGGGAACTATCTTTATATTGTATAAAAAGAAATCAGATTTGTATACTAAGATCATTTGTCTAAAGTTGTTTTGAAATAAAAACTAAAAATGCATTTTGTATGTTTCTGCTCCTATCAAGGGAGACAAATCTTTGTTTCTTCCATATTTTGGGTTGGTTTTTGTGGACAGATGCTTAGTTTGCAGCATATTGCAAGCCTGATAAAGTCCCCCTTCCAGCTGCAACATTTCTAGGATTATTACCACACTTGCTACTGGTATTAAACAAGTACATCAGACTCTCCCAGTGAAGCCACAGTCCTACACTGGTGTAAGCAGGGCTCTAGTCGGGGGGGAGCTCTCAGGTACGGAGCTCCGGAAGAGAACCTCTAGGGGGCGGGGCGGTCACGTGGTGAAGCCCCGCCCCCTTCTTTACCCCGCCCTCTGCTTCGATCCTCATTCCGTTTGGGAATGAGGATGAAGCAGGAGGGTAAGTAGCCGGGCCTTCTGACACACTTCCGGTGATGTCAGGGGGTGTGGCCTTCTGTCACTTCCGGTGATGTCAGGGGGCGTGGCATATGCAAATAAGTTATGCTAATGAGTTATGCTAATGAGCTCCGGCAGCTCTTTTTCTACAAGACCCCTGGGTGTAAGTCCCATTGAAGTGAGGGGTACTCCAGAGTGAACGTTCTATCTACATCGCTTTGTAATTATGGCTTCTAAGAAGTCAGACAACCAGGAAACTTTAACACCTTTTGAATGTATGGATTAAGACTAGTATTTTACTGCTTTTGCTCCACATATTTGCACATTCAATGTAAGCCTTCTTCCCAAAAGAGGGCCTTGGCCCTCTGGGGCACGGGGTGAGTCCCCAAAGTTTGACTCTTCCTCTACAAGTCTCTGACGCTAGAGGTATTTGCCTCCTTCCCTCCTGCCTGCTATGGCTGCATAATTGTGAGAGATTTCTTAACATAGTGTTCCTGCCAGGGAAGCTGGGGACCCTGCCCATGAGTCTCCATTTCATCCTCACAACAACCCTGTGGCCAGTTCTTTTAAGGACTTAGCAGTGCCTCTGGCCCCGCCCCAGCCCCCCCCCCCCCCGGGAAATTGGAAAGTCTACGCCCTTGACATCAGGTGCAGTGCACAGCGGAGAGCTTTTGCGGCAGTGTTTGAATCCGCCCCTTAGGACTGGCAGATGATGAGGCACCCCCTGCAGTTGACTGGGAGTGGATTAGGATTGGAACGGGCTTCTTCTCCCGTGGCATCAGTAACCTGCGGAACTCACCATCACTGGATGCAGTGGTGGCCACTAGGTTAGGTCGGGTTAGAGACATTCAGCAAGCCCAACTGTGTGCACGCTTTCTCCGCATCAAAGCAAAGAATGGACACAGTTTCTGTGCACGGTTGCCAGCTCCAGGTTGGGAAATACCTGGAATTCAGGAGCATCCACCACCTCCCGAGGTAGTCTGATCCACTCTGTGTGTGTGTGTGTGTGTGGCGCGCACTTAGCAACTGGACTTCCTTCTCTCCAGGCCCTGCCTGGAGGTTGGCAACTCCATAATTGATGGGCGCGTGGGGGAGGGGTGCCAGAAGGTGGTCTCGCCTAGAGTACAAAAAACCCTGAAGCTGGCCCTGCCTCAACTATACATTTACAGAAGCTTGGACTTAGAAGAACTTCCTCATACTGTTTAAACATTGCCAATGGGGTGAGCTATCCCAGTGAGCTGCAAATAAATGGTTCTATGAATATTTTCAAGAACTCAGAGAGCAACATACTATTGAATTTCTCCAAGCTAGCTTGTTAGTACATGCCTAATCACAGATCATGCTGGCCCTCTCTAGTATGAAACCCTATTGATAATGAAAGCCCATTGACTGCTATTAAGGATTTCAGAGTCGTTCCCAAATAGATACAGCTTCCCTGTATTTTCTGCCTAGGACTACTCTATATCCAAACATGATCCTGTTAAAAGAATGCCACAAATAATTTGGGAAAAGTGATATTGTGGCATGCTTGCTATTCGGGGGGACGGTACTGTTTTTCCTTTAATCCACCCTCTGTGTATATATAAACTTGGTAGTTTTCTGCTGCCACCAGGAATTAAAAAATCCAATTCTCTCTCTTTTGGTAGTATGACCCAGGGTCTGGGCACTTCAGAGGACTATGTGGCCCTGAGAAAGGACTGTACTGATTTCTGGGATATGTTTAAACAAAAAATGATTTATTGAATAAAGAACAAAATAGGTTTCTGGTTATCTTGAACTGTTTCTGGGAAAAGGCACTTGTAAATATAACTGGCAAGATGTCACACACAGTCTCTCAAACACTAAAATTCCATGCTGACAGGCTTCTCTCTCTTATATAGGTAGCCACACTGGCTAAGCTCTTTGTCTTAGGCACACAAGATAAAACAGTTGTCTATCCACACAGTTTAGACACTACTTGTTTCTTTGCCATATAGACTCTCTCACAAGACATTTAGAGTCACACAGACCCTCTTCATAGCTCTTCCACACTTCACTTTCCCAAAGACACATACACAAAACACTGTCATAAAACACACGCACACAAATTCATAAAACACACACACACAAATTCCTCTCAGAACATCTCCTCCCACACTCTCTGTCACCAGCCAATTAAATCACACTTGTCTCCCTCTATCACTCTTCTTACAGTACTGCAGTCAAACAACTTTTAAAGGAACACACACACACCAAAACATGGAATCATTACAGATATATTTACCTTTTAAAAGTTCATGGACTTACTAGCTAACCTGAGGATGGCAATGCTGGAGTCCATCTACTTCCAGGGTACCATATTTCCAGTGGTCAAGATCCAAAGAGTTCCAGGTGTATAAAGCACACAAAGCACTACGGATTTCTCCTGATTCTAGTTCCTGTTTTATATCAGGCATCTCTCAAGTCTTCCCTAAACTTGAGGACGAGGAGTCCAAGGGATGCTGAAGATGGGAGGCCTGAAAAGCCCAGAGGGTATGGTTCTTGTTTTCTTATATCATTACAAAATAGATAACTCCGCAAACAGAAGGACCTTCCATAAGGATGCCCAAAGAGAGGATGGAGATGTTGGTCCAGAGAAGACAAAGTTATGGTTAAATGACATATGAGTTTCAATCCACTAGTCTAACAGATCTTCATCAGATTTAATCTAAAATCAGCCTTCACTGGTTAACTGTTCAATTAAACATCAGTTTGGGGGCGAAGGGGGCTGTGGCTTTCCTTCCAGACAGTCTAAGTGAACGCGTCTGGGCCCGGCCCTCATCTGGTTCTAAATGACACCTGTCTTTGGAATTAAAGTATTAGGTTTTTATGTTACAGTCCTTCCTGTTTTCAAACAGTGTTATTAAGATTCTTAGTACATATTCAAAACACACTGTGGTAAGCAACCATTTTGCAAATTTTTGTTCAATAGAGCAAAATCAGCATTTAATTAAAGACATTTTAATTTTTAATATATTTTTATTCTTTGTAAATACAATGAGTACAATCTTAACTTCACAAATCAGTTAATCCACTTTGTACAAGAGAAGTTTTACTCAGTCTATGATACTTCCAAGTGCTGATTCTTCTTCCTCAGTGCTAGTTCCTAAAACAAAAACTTTTAAAAGTACAGCCGCTATCTTAAATTTCCCCCCTATGTTTTCCATAAGAATATTCTCATCAAATTAAGCAGCTCGAAATATATATTCTTCTGGGTGGTAGTGGGTGCATGAAAGATATCAAGGCTTTCAAATGAAGTTTTCTATAAAGATACTAGAAAGGTTTGTATTGATAAACCATTTTCCATCATTGATATATTTCAAACTGATAATTGGCAAGTCAGGTCTCCTTTTTGTACATCTCATTGACAAAGAGTTTGGCCATCGTTGCCTTTGGTTTCAGCACTATGACAGTGGGACAGTGAGTGATCCATTCATTGAATCAATCATCCTTATTTGCTTTTATTTGGTTTTGCTGTTTAGTCTTCACTTACTGTATGTTTAACTTTTTTTAAAGCTCTTCTGTCTGAGATGTTAAATTGAACTGAAATTTTAGCAAGATTCAGAAGCAAAGCTCACCAATTCACGGTTTTTCCCCCTCAACAGGAGGCCTGGCCTATCTGAACATAAAATGTGTTTACCAGTATATGCCACTTTTCAAAAAACCATTACAAAGGCCACTTTTATGTTACAACTGAAGTAAATGTTTTGATAACCCAGTATTCAGTGTTGCCTGTCATATAAAAAGCATTCACCAACAAGCTACTTAAAAAAAAAATTCTGAAGGCCACCTCATGACACTTTACAACAGAACAATGTTTGGTTACCCAAATTTTTAAAGAATGGAAAAAAAACCCTAAAGTACCTTTTTCTTTACCCTGTCAAATCTGTCAGCTAAATGACAGACTAGCACAGCCTTTGTTAACTATGAATGACAAGTGAATTGGCTCCACCACATAGCTATAGGAGAAGCAGCAGCCAAGTTCCATCCACTGCAGTTCCTCTGAGGAGCACAACAGTTGTCCGTGGATTTGTCACTCTTTTCAAGGCAGCTGAATCCTATCTATTGGGCTTATTTCATCAATAGAGTAAACATCTTCAGGTTTCAGCTTCCTGTAGAGTTTTTTTTCCAGCTGAGGCTTACTCTCCATAGCTTCAAAAGTTCTCAGAAATTTTCATCCTGATTTTTTAAAATTGCCAGGTCAATTTAAATGTCACTGGATTTGTACATATCTGAAAGTAGTCTTGTGATTGGCACATTTCCTATGGTTTTTTTGAAAAACACTTCTTCTATCGTTGAAGGACTAATTGAACGTAAAGCTGGCAAAAGCAACAAGAGTTTCCCAAAACGACAAGGTTGTGTTGGGTACCTGCAAAGTAAAAAAATAATGTTTAAAAAATTGAAATCATTTGTGCTGATAAAAACTGCAACACAGTAGCATTTGATTCCAGATCTCGAATCAGAGTGGTGGAGTGGAATAAAGCAAGTGCTGGCATTAGGGAGACTGGTTCAAGTCCCCATTAACGCATAAAGCTAATGGGGCTGTGTTGGACCACCCACTCTTTTCCCATGGAATAAGCAGATTCAAATAGTCCTTGAATAAGTCACCTGCATTGCATCTTCCTTGGTCTCCTTTTAATTTAATTTGCTGCCACATATTAATCCTTATTTAAGATCTATCTCTGCATAGATTTCAACCCACTCTGCATTCAAGGAATACATATAAATCAGTGAATTGCCCTACTAGAAAGCTTGTTTTCATATTTTATTACAGTAGGGTATCCCAGGATTAGAATAGCTGCTAGTTTGTTCAACAGCCACCATAACATACTCTGGCTGATATCAGACTAATGCCACTATTAGATTTGCTACCTTTAAACAACTACAGAATTGTAACTGCCTGCATGAGGGAAGGGGAAAGGAAGGAAAAATAGATAAATAAGCTGTGGGAAAAATAAGAGGAGAATGAAGGAGGAAGAGGGATGGACATTTGCTGGCATTTGCTTGGGAAGAGAGGGGCAGGCTTGGCATAGGTAGGAATGTGTAAGGGCTGAGCAAATTCAACATGCGTGGGCTCACACCTGTGCAACAGCTGCCCCATCAGGAAGCAGAATGTTTTGCAGGTTAGCACAGCAGGAAAAAAAACATCTCTATGAATCTAGAGTCCCTTCTCTTCACCAGAAAGCATAACAAATGCTTTCTTGTCAAGGCTAACTTCATCAAAGGGCTAATAAGAAACCTCGATTCCAAGAAGAAGAAGAGAAGAGACTGGATTTATACCCTGCCCTTCACTACCCAAAGGAGTGGCTTACAAACTCCTTCCCCTTCCCCTCCCCACAACAGACACCCTGTGAGGTAGGTAGGACTGAGAGAGCTCTGACAGAAACTGCTCTTTTTCAAGAACAGCTCTTATCAGAACTACGGCTTGCCCAAGGTCATCCAGCCATGTGCAAGTGGAGGAGTGGGGAATCAAACCCGGTTCTCCCAGATTAGAGTCCATGCACTTAACCACTACACCAAACTGGCTTTCCTAGAGAGGTTTCAGACTGTTGTTCCTAGAGATGTAAAATTTCCGGAAATTTTGAAGCTCGGAAAAAACCCTGGGTTTTTTCGGGGGGAAACGGAGATTTTCGGAAGAATTGAAAAAAAATGCGACATTAGCATTTCTTTTGTCTTTTCTAGATTGAAAGTCATTCTGTTACTTTAGGAACATAAAATATGACTATGGACATTTTTACTTGGCATGAAATTATCACAACTAGCATATTAAAAATATAGTGTATCCAAACAATTATTACAAACAGAATACCCAACCACATGCAAAAACAAAACTGAAACTTTTTTATTTTCTTCTGACAATCGCACCTCCTAAAGAAAGAAATGCATCTTGTTCTTGCATTGGAGAGTTCAGTTTGTAACCTAGGACTTGCTTGTCCTCGGTGCACAGAAATTAGATCAAACTGATACCATATATATATATATTTTAGAAATGATTTGGAAAATATTTGAACACCTTGTCTTAAAATATTTTATTCATCATGTTAAAATAAAACATTCCGTAATCAATTTTCTTTCTTTTCTTTTTTCAATTTTTCCAATTTTTCGGGAAAAAAAACAAAAAAGGCTTCAGGAAAAAAACGGGGGAAAAAACAGTTTTTTTCCGAATTTTTCCAGGTTTTTTCCAGGCCTTCACATCTCTAGTTGTTCCCTTGTCCTTTCATGAGAACAAAACGAGGCAGGTTCCTTGCAGAGTCTTCCATTCAACCTGAATCCTGATGACACCTCTTGGATCTTTTCTCTGACCAGTCCCAACAGTGTCTCCCTCATCATGCGACAACAATCAGCCACTTAAGTGGCTTGCACAGAGAACTGGCCCTGGATCCATCTGCAGTTAAGAACTTAAGTCCCACTGATTTCTCTGGGAAAGAGGCGAACAAGAGATGCCTAACGGGGCAACCCTATGCAGAGTTGCTCTAGTCTAAGTCCATTAAAGTCAATGGGTTTAGATTGCAATATCTCTGCATAGAATTGCACTGCAGCTCTCCTATTTAAAACCAATGAGTCCTAAAAGAGATTACTTTGACTGGATTGTGCCCTTCGATTATATAAAAGGTAAAGATTTCCCTTGCTTGAAAGCCAGTCGAATCCGACTCTAGGGGGCAGTGCTCATCTCAATTTCCAAGCCGAAGAGCCAGCACTGTCTGAAGACGTTTCTGTGGTCATGTGGCCGGCATGACTAAATGCCAAGGTGCACGGAACACTGTTACCTTCCCACCAAAGCGGTACATATTTATCTACTTGCAATTTCTTGCTAGGTTGGCAGGAGCTGGGTCCAGAGTCAGGAGCTCAGTCCGTCACATGGCACTAGGGTCTTGAACTGCCAAACTACAGACCTTTTGGTTTGCAGCTCAGCACCTTAACCTTCTGAGCCACTGCAGCCCCTTTTGATTATATAGCCACCATTGAAAAAGACTCATACATGTAAATCTATGAAAGCCTGCTAAACATCAACAATATTAAAGCTCCAAATGAAACCACCCCAACATCTGAACCCTCCATAATGAGAGCCAGTCCATAGAAAAAATTCTTTAAAGTGCTGATAAGAAGCTCCTATATTTCTGAATTCTTTGTGCTCCTCATCAGATTCACTTTAAATATGTTGCACTTTATTTCTACTCATTATTTCTACTAATGCATCTGAGCTAATTCAACTGCCTTGACTATACAGCAGATATGGCAAATTTTGTGTCTGAAAAGTTAAGTCTTCACCTGGTATGAATGTAGCTGTTCAGGGTGAGCTGAGCTTCATCTTGAAGAGCTGCAATGGCAGCAGCATTCCGAAAACTTCTCAGTTCAGAACCACTATGCGTAGGTACTGAAAAGAAAAGAGTCCACTGTATTATTACCTGAGCACTTTATTACTTAGCCATTTCATATTAACACCTACAGGCATGACACACCCAGGTAGGTTTTTGACTGCTCATGACATTGTACTATATTGCTTGATCATTGGGCACTCCACCCTAAAACACCCCAATGGATGACAATTTGAAGAAGAACCATAAAATCTCATTACATGGTAAGTGAAAATCAAGTAAGAGATTAAAGTAATACTGCTACTGGTTTAATATCAGCCAACAATCATGGACATGCTCTCACAAGATACCGAAGCTTGGACTTCGGTAAATATTTAATGGGAGGAACTTGCATGTTTGTATTGTTCCAATATGTTGTGTGAATATCACTAAGAGGGGCAGTGTTGATTCACAGTCAGCTCCTAAAAAAGACCTCTGCAATGCAGTGCTGATCCTCGTATTGGCCCACAAACCAACATACTAGACTGTCGTTGTGAGACAATATTACTACATAAAATAAATGATGATATACTCAGCTCCTTCACAACTGGAACAAAGCTGTTGCTCTCCCAAAGAAAGCAGCCTGAATTTGCAGGGAATTTTAAAGGTATCCGGTTCAAAGGACATGGGCACAGTTTTCACACCAATATCTTTTCATTTTCAGCTGGGCAGAGGCTCTGCTTCGCAGCTTACATAGCATAATTAATGCATGATGTTTATTGCAATGTGACACTGGAAACAGGATACTGAGCTATCATACTGCCTTTTTATTTTGATTTAAATAAGACTATTTTTGTGTTCTTCTTACCGGCTTTAAAAGTGACAATGCATTTGAGACAGGCAAATTCTGTAGCATCTAAACGAAGCTGTCGAAATCTGGCCACAACCTCCTGTAACGCCTGTATTTCTGAGATAATCTTATTCAGCTTCTGAGAATCTGTGTTGTCACCATTCATGCCTGGAACACAAACATGTGAAATAAATACACTAATAAGCCATTTGAAGTACTTGATAAATTGATTTCTGGGGGGGGGGGGATTACATGTATCAATAGCTATTCAATTGTTATTCTCCAAGATCCGCTTCCACACAAAACTGACTATATTGTAGAAAAGTTAGTATGAAATCTTCTCTTGGATGATAACAAACACAGTAATTTGCATTTAAATGACAGTGCATGCAGTCGTGAATGCAACAAAACAACATTATTTGCATTTAAATATAGATTTATAAATGACAGGTATACTCTATTGTTTAGAAGGGATTTGTTATTCTTTACATGTTGTCCTTTTTCAGTAATGTATTTTTATGGTAATTTCTATAACAAAGTCATTAAATTGTGCAATTCTTACCCGATACAGCCAGTAGAGTGTTAGCATCAACTGGAATGGCCCATTGTGCTATTCCTAGAACAAACAGTTCCCTCCAAGCGTCTTCCAAAAGCATCAGCTGTCATATAATAGAGGTACGATATAACATAGTGTATAATTTATAGATTGATAAACAATTTCAATATGTAAATTTCTGTTGTTTTAAAAATGGCTTTAAAAGGCCCGTGCCGCTGTTTCCTCCTTAGAATATTTTAGTTATCCCTTTCTCATTTTGATAAAAGGGTCCATGAGCTGCTAGGAATATTTATTATGTTTTTATCCTGCCTTTCTTCCAACTCCAGACTGCGTACATTGGGTTCGCAGGAGGTTGTCCATCCAGGCATGGACTAGGCCAGATCTGTTTAGCTTTAGCGTGGGTGCAGGATTATGAACCCTTCTGCAATATATTTTATATATGTTAATATCTATATTGGGGTACTTCTTTGAAGTGTAATTAAGTCTTCATACAGAGGCTCATATGTGAAAACAAAAATACCTAAACATTCTTGCATGACACCTACAAGAAGCAGCACAATTATTTATCCAAAACTGACTTGGTCAGTTGGAGCTGCGTGCTCCTTTTCACAGTTGTAAATAAGTGTGTTTCCACCGGGTGCAAGGGCTTCTGCCTTCAGAGCATGGCTTTCTTGGCCTGGCTGCCACAGGAGAGGCCTGAGCCAACAGAGAGACCCTCCAGTCCTTGCACCCACAGAAGTGCTGCACTGAACCCTACCCAAATAAGAGGTGAATTCAATGCAGCAAATTTCAAATCTGAGTTGAGTTCAGAGGCCAAACACACACACCCGTGCTTTTTCAAGCCTCACAGCCAACTTTCTCATGAGTATTTATCCAACAAAATTGTTGGACTGGACAAGGAGGTCAAGTTATGAAAGGTACCGTAATTACTGTCACACAAGGCCCGGTTAGTTATCTAGGATGTTTTTCTTAGGTCACGATTCAGGTCCCTGCCTCCTTCACTCTAGGTTTAGGCATGTTGTTCCAAGTGAGGCAACTAATATTTTTCTGTTCAGGACATTCCACAGCTTATTGTGGGAAGCCAGTTGTGTGGTCTGTACAGGCGGTGCTGACCTTATACTGGATCACTGCAAATTTTGGATTAGCAAGATCAGCACAGGCTGACACACAACCACATCTTGGGCTGTAGGGATCAGAAGCCATGTGAAAGCACTTTTGATGTAACCAACCCTATGTAGCCCCTCCAAGTACAGTGCTTGGACCTGCTCCTCCACGCTGAATAATATGGTCGCCTGATGGATAATCATGTCATTTCATTACCAGGGAGCATCCTGTAAAAGCGGGGGTGGGGGGGCAACATTTTTGAGCCTGCGGGAACCTTTGGAATTCTGACAGAAGGCGACGGACATAATCACAAATTGGATGCTGCAAGAGGTGGAACCAACCACAAAATTTCAAGAACAAGTTGTCCCTATCTCACCAGAATTAAACTTTGTTGGTCTCAAAGGTGCCACTGGACTCAAACTTTGCTGTGTTGCTTCAGACCAACAATGCTACCCACCTGAATCACTCCTACCCAATTAATCATCCTGCTTCTACTTTCTAGTAATTGTAGAATTAAGGCTGTGGTCCTGTAACCACTCTTATAGGCATAAAGTCCTATTGAGCTCAGTGGGACCTGCAGTGGAGTAAATATGCACCGGATCAGGCTACACATAGAACAATAATAGCAGTACAAAGAACAACTCAATTTCTCTTTCTGTTGAAAGGACAATTTGCATTTCATGGAAGTTGGAGAACAATAGAAGCAAAATGAAAGTCTGCAAATGTGAATTTAGGGAAAGCCTAAACTTTGCAACCCACTGCCTGGACTCTAAAATCCAAAGAGGATAATGGTGCAATTAATGAAATCCTTGGGCTTTAGAGGGAGATTAATTTCATGAATTGGTACATGAAATTTGCCTTTAATTTCAATGTTAGATGTGCAGCTAGTTCATTTGAAATGACAGGATAATCTGATTCCTGTCATAGATAATAGGCTTCTTTTACAGAGATATGCTCAGTGATATCTTTAATCTGCCCTAAGCCATCCCTACTATATTAAGGAGGACTCTCATCTCGGAAAAAGTTCTCTCTCACACACACACACACGCACACACTGCTAAGTCCCATTTTTCTCAACAGAAGCATACGTTTGGCAAAAGTTCCATAGTAAAGCAAATTAAGCCTGGCCTCAAATAGAAATGCTATATAGTGACAACTTTAAAGCTGGAAGCAGTTAAGTCTTAATTTCATCAGCAGTCAGGATTGTGCCCTTTTCAGTGGTATTGGAAAGGGGAAGGGGACTGTCATTCTTTCAGGAACATTATTACAGTCCGAACTCACCTTCTGCAGCTCAGCAAAAGGCCCCCAAATGCATCCTACAGCACTGCCAGCTTTGCAAAATGCTTTCCAAGCACATGCACCTCTAGCCTCTTTTGGAAGACACCCGCCAGCGAGTGCAGCCACACCACAAGGCTGAGCATACTCTGCCTGGCTCAGGAGAGTTGCTCTTTCTCCTCCTCCTCCGGCTTCCGCTCTGGAGCTGCAAGAGCTGTGGGGCTTCTTTGTTAGGTCTCACCCTCCCTCCCTCCCACCACACCTACCCCTCTAAGCTTCATGTTCTTCTCCCAGTGGAAGCATCTGACTGGAACTCAGTAGGGTTGCCAACTCTGGGTTGGGAGATTCCTAGAGATTTGGAGATGGAGCCTGCGGAGGGACCTCAGCGGGGTATAGTGCCACAGAGTCCACTCTCCAAAGCAGCCACTTTCTCCAGGGAAACTGATCTTTGTTGCCTGTAAATCAATTGCAATTCTGGGAGATCTGTAGGCCCCACCTGGAGGTTGACAAACCTAGAGTGAAGTCACGTTTATCACATGCTCCCCATCCAGCATTTCAAAAGTATGTATTTTAAACCTCGTTCTTCAACTGAAACAAACCCCGACCCTTGCTGTTAGCTCCAATAAGAAATAAAACCAAGGGATGTAACTTTGTCTATCCACCCTCCCCTCCCCCATTCCTAACAAGGACTAATAACAGCCACAAGGGAGGGAGCAGATTTAAGAAAAGGAAATAAAGGAATTTTTTTTGTATTTTTGTATTTTTATGTGCATGTGTGTGTGCACCTGGAAGTCATGGAGACCTCTGGTGACTTCCTCCTACTGGGGGCCTGGAGGATATTCAGAGTGGTGGGTGAATAAAGCCTCCCCCTGCCTCCCGGCTCTGGTATTCCAAGGAGGTCTCCCATCCAAGTATTTGCCAGGGCTTTCGAGATCTTATGAGATCAGGCTTGCCTGGACTATCCAAGTCAGGGTGAAATAAAGGATTTTTGAAATCATTCTTACGATGGTCATGACTCTGACCTGAGGCTTTGCCATGGTTCACTCAACTATTTAAAAAACAACAGTGTTAACATTCAGGTTCTGTGCAGTCTGGACTTGAGACAAGTTGCTTTCCTCTTAACACGGAACTTTCCCCCATTAATCAAGTTTTATTTGCTTTGCCTCTTTCTTCCTGCAGATCTCTTCCCTTCCTTCTTAGGCTGTACACTCAAACTTTTTTTTGGGGGGGGGGGAAACAGAATTTGTTTCTTTTGCAAATGCCATTGTAGAGGAAGAGAAAAAGGGAGAAGTTATTTAATCCCTTTTTCTTCTGCTGTTTTCTGTCTGAAAAACCACTGACTTATTAATTGTAGGGGAAGAAGGGGTTAAATAGCTCATCTACTCCTTGCCAGCTGCATTTGCAGAAGAAAACAAATGTAGTTTAAAGGAACTGGGTGGATGAGATGTAGTTTGAGATGTAGTGGTGTAAAAATGCTGCTCTTCTCCCCACCCCCAACTACTGAAGAAGTAAGAAACCTGATCTTATTAATGTGAGCTAATGCCTCAAATAAATAGTGACTACTGAAGAGGCTCGCTGGAAACGAAAATTAACACCATCACCTAATTAAACTCCTGCATCTCCTCTTCCTGCAATTGGGTTTTTGAATGTGCAGAGGGCAGGAAGGACCCCACCATCAACATCTAGCAGGTGTTTACGCAGTGCCACTTCTTAGTCTTGTGTGCATTTCAGTTGTGTAAACTACAGTGAGAATTTCTTTTTTTTTTTGTGCTGCAAGCCTGCAGTTGTCAAACAGAGCTACAAACTGACTCAATTCTGATAAGCATTTAATACAGTGGAAGAGTCTCTTGCTGAATGTTTACTCTGTGATGCACATTTGAAGTATGTGAATAAACATCATCTAAGAGGGAGCAATAAGTTCACAGTCTACCGAATTCTTAACTGCACACCACTTTGTCTGCCACAACAAACTGTCATAATTTAAGAACAAATTAATCTGGGGGGGAACTAATGGAATAAATTCTACTCTCATTCATACAAATCTCAGCTTAAATGAAACTATTGGCCCTGAGCCAGAAAAACCTGCAGCCTGATTCTAAGCATTTACTTAGAAGCAAGTGTCACAGAACTTCAATGGGACATTCTCTACTAAGGGTGCTGAGATCCACATCTTACCTAAATTCTATTGAGGAGGGGGAAATCATTCTATATAAATTTTACCTGGTCTTGTAGCGACAGAGTAGAAAAGGCTGGAACACTCTTGGCCCATTTAATACTCATGAAGAGAAGCCTTGCCGCTGATTCACAAACAGATTCTGTAGCCACTTCGTAGAGATACATTGGCGTACCGGTGACTTCGTGTGGATACTAATTAAAAAGAGGGTTTAAAAAAAAAAAGTTGTTTGGGAAAGCACTAAACTTTGGTTATACAGAGATCCCCCCCCCCTTATGAAGAAGGGTATGATCAAAGTAAAAAAGGAAAACAGATGGTGGTAGGGAAACCTTTAGAAACTAATAACATGGGCAATTGTTATAAGATCATCCTAAAACGATGTTGCTGAATAAGGAAAATTGGTTAGATCTTCAAGAGATTGTTGGATCTAGACTAAGTTTTCTGCTAATGGACAGCACTTCTGTCAGCAGAATTTTCCAGCCTCCAATTATTCCATAATTTTTTCTGCCCCCCTTCCTTTCAGTGGAAATCCTCAGTGGGATCCAACCTATTGCTTTTCAAAGTCTTGTCACTCAACCTGTAGGCAGCTGAGAATACCAACATGGCCTTTATTTCCTTCCTAGGGCAGCCAGGTAAAAAACTGTTGAGGGCACAGTGGGGAATCACTGGAGAAGGCAGATCTACCTCTTTATCCCATACAAGGGAATGGCTGCTATTTAATCAAGCAAGGAAAACCAAAAACCCATGAACCATATTGTGGAGGTCACCAGATATGCTCATGGCAGAAGTGATGCTGGTTGGGAAGGCTGATGCTCTAGAGCAGTGGTTCTCAACCTTCCTAATAATACAGTTCCTCATGTTGTGGTGACCCCCAACCATGAAATTATTTTTGTTGCTACTTCATAACTGTAATTTTGCTACTGTTATGAATTGTAATGTAAATATCTGATATGCAGGATGTATTTTCATTGCTACAAATTGAACATAATTAAAGCATAGTGATTAATCACAAAAACAATATGTAATTATATATTGGGAAATATTTATTTCTAATTACAGGTGACCCCTTAGGCGACCCCTGTGAAAGGGTCGTTCGACCCCCCCAAAGGGGTCACGACCCACAGGTTGAGAACCGCTGCTCTAGAGACACTGGGTCCACTTGCCCTAGATGGAGTTAGCTTTTTCATAGCAGTTTAAGAGCTTGAGGGCACTCGTGAACCCAGCCTTGGTATTGGAAAATCAGACTGGTGCAGTGGCCAACAATGCCTTCTATAAGCTGCATCTAGTTTGCCAGCTCTATCCTTTTTTTACAGTCCACTGATCTGGCCATACTGAACCATGCTTTTGTGACCTTATGGTTGGATCACTTTAATGTACTGCCCTTTAAGCCAACTGGGAAACTGCAGCTGGTCCGGAATCCAGGTGCCGAATTATTGTCAAGGGCTATCTGATAGGAGCATATCTTGCTCAGTTTTTAAAATGCAGTTTTAATGTTTTATGTATTGGGCATTGGCCCCATCTGAGCCCGTTCACAGGGAGGGTGGGTTATAAATTTAAATAAATAAAATAAAATAAAAATAAAACAGCTACATTAGCTGTGAGTTTGTTTCAGAGTTCACTGAAGGACTGTCTCCTCCTATATGGTCCCATGTACCAACTACAGTCTTCATGCTGCCACTTCCTGGCTCTTTACCCTACTTAGGGTGGCCTGCCTGGCATCAACCAGGGCATGAACCTTTTATATCACAGACTTTTATATCACATGCATGGAACAGGCTCCCTGAAGAGAGGAGCCCTCACACTGGAGAACTTTAGGAGGCGCTGCAAAGCTTGTTTGTTTGCCAGGGCCTTTGCATGAACAGCTGTCACCTTTTAGGGGAGGGAGAGGTATTGGGGGATTTTATTTGATCTGGTTTTGAACTGTAATGTTTTAAATATTACCTGTAAGCCACCTTGAACCGAGAGGAAAGACAGGATTCAAATATTTTAATAAATGAATAAAATCCTTGACAAAAGGTGGCCCACCCTCATTACAACTCCATCCATCGTAATGATAGGATTAACTCTAAAAATATCAACTGGCAACTGTGATGAGAATAGTGTGTGCAGGAAGGAAAACTGCAGAACCAAGAACACAGAGCCAGTCCCCAGCTTTAAGTAAGTAACTGTTCCCATTCACAAATCTGTTCTTGCGAGCAGTGTAACACTGACACTTGCAAATCAGCACAGCAGGATGCATTAGAAAATTCACCTCTTGAAAGAACCTGCAGTGATCTTTTGGCAAGTCCTACCACTACATTAAACTGCTTATGAAAGGATACCATTTGTGTCAACAACCACCAAGAAACCAAGGAAAATAACATTAGACAGTATTTCACTTTTAGGCTTACTGGGATATTTATTTATTTTATTGATTTTTATCCCGCACTTCCAGCCTAGTTTCTCAATCATGGTTGTGTCAGAGAGCGGTGATGTGCAGATTGTATCCAACAAGTGAGACCTGTGTCTATATATTACACTCTCATACACACACAAAGGCCACTTGAAAAGGCACCAAGACTGTGAAACCTGACTGATGTATTTTTCAGAGGTTTGTCAGACTCATTGGATCAATAACAAAAAGGAGCTGACCTTTGGAGTTGGTTGAGCCAAGCCTACCAAAGTCTGCCTTTCCGATGTCGTAGAAACTGCAGCCAGTTCTAAATTATGGGATTCCAGCTGTGTGACAGCAGTGAAGAAAGGAGGGGTAGGTAGAGCTGCAGAGGGAAAGTGCGGGGTGGCTCCATTATCTTCCTTGTGTCCTCTGAAATAAAGAGCGACCTGTTTCCTTATTGTGGATGTCCTTGGTCCCCTTTCATGTTGAACAGCTGGGGGGAAACAACAAATCGTAAAACTTCCCTGAGAGATGGGAAACATCAGCATGACTAGGGGCAGAGTTAAGGCAATTGAAAAGGAAGAATGTTGCTAATGGTAGACTATGTTTTGTCATGTTTCGTCATGGGGAGCTGTAGGATATTCTGTGGGAATTTTGTGGCGACACGATTTTATGGATCATCCTGACAAAGCATAGGTAAAAACGTGTTGGGACTGTCTTATTGAATAAGTTATATTTCCCCACTGCACCTTTCCCCTCCCCTTTGGCTTTTTTGTTCTTGTTATTGGTGCAGCCTCTTTCTTTGCACAGCCAAATTTTAAACATTATTGTCTCCAGCCAATTTGGGGATAAACATGGGAAAGGCCTTTACATAACTGTACAAATTTAGAATTTAGAAAGGCAGTGACAACACTTGTTGCTTTCTAGATAGGAATGGTCTCTGCATTATCATTATTTAGATAAAGGTAACAAACAGTCAAATCTTCCCTTGGTTTGACCATTATTCAAATTATGTGAACAAGGAACCTCCTATTTCTATATCTCCAATACAAATCAATTGCTTTACATGGGATAATATAGCATCGTAGCTACAGTCCAGAGACAGGCTTTATGCAATAAGGTGTTATGACTTCTAACAACTGGAAGGACAATATTTCCCCCAGTTGTGGGCTTCCTAGAAGTAGCTGGTTGGCCACTAAATGAAAAGAATGCTGGACTTGATGGACCTTTAGTCTGATCCAGCATGGTTCTTCTTCTGTTCCTAATTAATATGATTATTGTGCGAATGTGCATAGGAACCTTCCTCCATATAACAGAACAACAATGGAGAATGCGTTGGATGACATTTCGCTGGGTGCACATATATATTCTTTGCCTGTCAGTCAACAGGGGAGAGAATATACATGTCTTAGCAGATATGTTGATACCCACACAGTAACACTCAGAGACAATGTCTGTGTATGAAAAGCAGATCTTTGGGTCTGTCCTTCTATTGTGCAGATTGCCGCACCCCATCCAGTATAACACTTGCACAGATGTTTATGTACACAGACACACAAACATTAAACAGCTTACTGGATGGGGCAGTTATGAGCAATCTGTGTTTTACTGGCCTACTGAGGGTCACAAAGAGATTACAGTTTTATGATCAATGTTTACAGATACATTTGATGTTCTACCCTGATGGCAACATGTTGGGTGTTACAAGTTAAAACACTTCTATTTCAGTATTTACTGGGTTAATACTGTTTACTGAATCACATGTTTGTTTGTGACCAATCTGTTTAGAGAGCTAGAAAGCCCGGCAACTTCAGATCTAGTTTGTTGTTCTGATTGGAGACGAGAGTGGCTAGTATTAGCATTTTATGGCTCTTTGTCCTGAGCAAGAAGAAGTTCAGTCTCCATTAGATCTCTGCCATGTTCTGTCTAGATGTGAGGATGTAGATATATAGCTCTTTGTTATTTTTCATCCCGTATACCTTTTCCCATGCTAGGTTGTAGTAAACTTTTATATTTTAAACACATCATGGACTCTGACTCTTTAATACTCTGCTGAATGTTGATTACTCTGCTGATTAACTTTAAAAATTAATAACAATAACCCAACAGGTTATGGAAGCCCAGATGCTTTCCCAGCTGCAGAGTTGAGCCATGTGTATTAAGTTTACTTAAGAACAGAAAAGATTTTTTGAAAAGTTTTTCTGGGAGCAGAGAAGACTTCTTGAGCCTGTTTTTTGCCTATCGTGCTAACGGGACAGAAGAGTGAGAGTGAGATTCATTTCCTGTTTGATCTACCAAGACAAAGAAATCCCCGAGAGCTGAATTCACAGCCGGGAGAGAGAGGAAGATCAAAGGAGCACCGATCGAACCAAAAGCTGCCCAGACGAGCGACCGATGGTTTGCCTCTACCGAGAGAAGTTGGTAACGTAAAGAATGGCTTCTTCAAATGAAATGTCCGTTTATAAATTTCAAATTCTATCCAGAGATAATTATAAATGGTGGAAAGGAAATGTACAGTCCATTTTACAATCTCGTTCAGCATTGCATGTCTTATGTCAAGACACTCCCAAAGAGGATGATGAGGCTGCCAAATACAGAGAATTTATAGAGAAAGATGGACTTGCTAAAGCTTTAATCCTTGGGAACGTCCTTGCTAATGATAATCAGAAGCTTTTATCATGTGAAACTGCAAAAGAAATGATATCCCACCTAGATAAGAAATACGATGCCAGATCAAAGGCAAACAGTATCTTTCTTAACCAGTGCTTGTTCAATTGCAAAATGCAAAAGGGAGAATCAATTAGTACTCATTTGAATAAGATTCTCAATATCTTTGATCAATTGAAAGCCATGGGTGACCCACCCACAGAGAACTCTGTGCTTAGTGCAATTTTGAGCTCATTAACCAGTGATTTTAATTCTGAAGAGGCATATCTTAGAGGAGTTGATAAATTATCTATTGACTATGCTATCTCTTATCTGGAAGCTGAGGGCCACAGAAGAGACATGTTGAATCTTACTGAAAGTGTTTCAGTGCTCAGAGTTAGTGATTCTCGTCAGAGAGGAAATGCAAAGAGAGCTGTTAAATGTTGTGTGTGCTCTAAACCTGGGCATTTAGCGGAGAAATGTTGGTTTAACCGAGACCACATGAAAGGAATAAGACCATGTGGTCTGCCGCTGATACAGGAAACCCTAAGGGGCGTGGTAATGCAAGACCAAATGCTCCTCAGGAGCAGGGCAGAACAAAGCCCGTATTTTTTTCTGAGAGAGACGCACTCAAATACTGCAGAGGGAGAACAATGTGTGAATGTGCTTGCAGTAACTGCTGATAGAAGAGAATCTGATGATAAATCATTATGGTTACTGGATTCAGGAAGTGCGGTCCACATTTCAAATAATGCTGAATGTTTTATTGACTTGAATAAAGATAAAAAACCCAACCTGCATAAGGTTGATGGTCAAGAATTAAATGTTGCAGGAACTGGAACAGTGATGCTTAACGTTTTAGATACATGTGGTAAAATTCAGCAAATGACTTTGAGAGAATGTGTTTTCGTACCTGAAGCAACTGTCTGTCTGATCTCTACAAGGAGAATCATTGCTACTGGTTTTAAAATTAATCTTGATCAGGGCCAAGGCAAAATATGGCACAAAGATGGTGTTGAACTAGTGACTGAAGAACAAGAGAATTATCACTATGTAAGAAACATTGCCATTGCTGATAATGATGAAATGGACACTAATGGGCCAGTGTTCCACACAAAATCATCTGAATGTGATCACAAAGACTGTTTATATAAATGGCATGTAATGTTTGCTCATAGAAATGTGCAAAGTGTACAAAAGCTATTGAAGGACTGTAATATCAATGCTATTGAGTGTAATGCTATGGAAAATGGTTGTGAAACCTGCTTTAAAGCAAAAGGTACAGCTCCTAGTTACAGGGGCAAATCTCCTGAACAAAATACAAAATTTCTAGAGACTGTGTACTCAGATCTTGTTGGTCCACTGAAAGAGTCTGCTGGAGGTAGCAGATACTTTGTGACTTTTATGGAAGCAAAATCCAGATATGTCTATACATACCTACTTAAAAGTAAAGATCAAGTACTTGAAAAGTTTAAGTGCTATGTTGCTGCTGTTAAAAACAAATTTGGCAAAGCGCCAGAGGTGCTATTCACAGAGTACTGCAGCAGTGAGTTCCAAAGATTCATGGAACAAGAAAGAATTGAACATAAAACAACGCTAATACAATCTGGAATTTCAGAAGATATGTGGGGTGAAGCAGTCAATACAGCTACTTACCTGCACAATAGAGTTCCATCTAAAACTACAAATAAAATTCCTTTTCAATTATGGCATAACAGGATGCCTGGACTTAAACACATTAAAGCATTTGGATCTAAAGCCTATGCCCACATTCCAAAAGAGAAAAGGGGCAAATTAGAGCCAAGAGCAGAAATTGGTATCCTAGTGGGGTACGCTCAAGGAGGAAAAGGCTACCGAATTTTTGATTCTACAAACTGTGTAATTAGAGAATGCAATGTGGTACATGTTGATGAGAGTAACATCCTGCAAACTCCTAAGCCAGCTGAGTCCACAGCACAACCTGTCAATCAGGAATCTACAGATGTCTCTTTCTTTGATGTGATCACTTGGCAATCTGCAGAGACCACCTGTGACCAGGCAGGTCCATCTCCACAAGAGGATTCCACCTCAGAAGGGGAACAAGGGAATTCCACCTCAGAAGGGGAACCAGGAGAGGCAACGCCAAGGGTAAGAGAGACAACTGCTGTGAGACAATCAGCAAGGAGTACCAAAGGTGTTCCACCACCAATGTACGGAATTTGTGCAAGTGTGCAACAAATAAAGGAACCTACTAACTGGAAGGAAGTTAATCAACTACCTGCATCTGAAAGAAGCAAGTGGATTAATGCCATGGAAGAAGAATTTGCATCTTTGCAAGACAAACAAGTTTGGACTCTTACTGAGTTACCTTCAGAAAGAAAAGCCATCGGCTGTAAGTGGGTGTACAAAGTGAAGTATAACCCTGACGGCGAAGTGGACAAGTACAAAGCTCGTCTTGTCGCAAAAGGATTTTCTCAAAAATATGGAATCGATTTCTCGGAAACTTTTGCACCTGTTGTAAGCTACACAACCTTCAGAACACTTTTGAGCATAGCAGCCTCAAGGGGCATGCACATTGAACATTTGGACGTAAAAACTGCGTTTCTCAATGGAGAATTGAATGAAGAAATCTACATGGAACAACCAGAAGGATTTTCAACAAAAGGACAAGAAGGCCTAGTGTGCAAACTCAACAAAAGCGTTTATGGACTAAAGCAAGCAGCAAAAGCGTGGAATGAGAAACTGACTGAACTGTTACAAAAACAGAACTTTCAACAAGGAATAGCAGAACCGTGTTTGTTCTCAAGAATCAAAAATGGACAATATCAGTACATACTCATTTATGTTGATGACTTGATTATTTGTTGTGAAAATCAAGGAGATGTACAGGAAATAGCAGATGAACTAAACAAGGAAGTGGAAGTGAAACAATTGGGACCTATAAAACACTACCTTGGAATACAAATTGAAAGAACTGATGATGGAAGTTTTCTTCTAAGCCAAAAGCAAAAGATCATGGACTTTATTGAATCTGTAGGACACCTCTTGAAGAGGATTACCTCAAGAATACAGAGGGACCACAACTTCCAAACAACCACGAATACAGATCCGCAATTGGAAAATTATTGTACCTCAGTACAATCTGTCGACCAGACATAACGTCAGCTGTTGGACTGTTACGCAGAAAGACCAGCTCACCAACTATCCATGACTGGAAAGCCATTAAGAGACTGGCAAGATACCTAAAAGGAACTTTGGATTACAAACTGAAAATCTCATCCTGTGATGAACCAAGACTGACTGGATTCATGGATGCCAACTGGGGCAAAGACACACCTGATGGAAAATCTACAAGTGGATACTTATTCTACTATGGAAACATTTTAATTGACTGGACTAGTCAAAAGCAATCTGTTGTAGCAATCTCTACTGCAGAAGCTGAATGTGTATCAGCACAAAGTGCCAGCTATGAACTTTACTGGATTATTCATCTACTAAAAGACTTTGGAATAGATGAACCGAAACAAATAATAATGTTTGAGGACAATCAAGCTTGCATCGTTGTCTGCAAAGGTGAGAGCACCAAATCCAAGAATACAACCATCGCTCTCAAATGTAATTATGTGAAAGACTTACAAGAAAAAGGACTGATTGAACTTTGCTACTGTCCTACTGAACAGATGACTGACGACATCCTGACCAAGCCGCTTGACAAGCAACGTTTTGAGAATCTTCGTGAAAGTTTGAATTTGCATGATGTCAGTGTTATAACTTGAGAAGGGGTGTTGGGTGTTACAAGTTAAAACACTTCTATTTCAGTATTTACTGGGTTAATACTGTTTACTGAATCACATGTTTGTTTGTGTTTAGAGAGCTAGAAAGCCCGGCAACTTCAGATCTAGTTTGTTGTTCTGATTGGAGACGAGAGTGACTAGTATTAGCATTTTATGGCTCTTTGTCCTGAGCAAGAAGAAGTTCAGTCTCCATTAGATCTCTGCCATGTTCTGTCTAGATGTGAGGATGTATAAATATAGCTCTTTGTTATTTTTCATCCCGTATACCTTTTCCCATGCTAGGTTGTAGTAAACTTTTATATTTTAAACACACCATGGACTCTGACTCTTTAATACTCTGCTGAATGCTGATTACTCTGCTGATTAACTTTAAAAATTAATAACAATAACCCAACACAACATAACTGTTTAGCATTCTGAAACCACATTACTGTACACAGTCCATATGTTTTGCTGACAGTGCAAAATTGATTCCTGGCTGATGGTACCAAATCAAGAAGAAAGTCACATTGATTTTATTGGACATAGAAAGGAGTAATTCAGTTTAGGATTGCAGAGTTAATTTTTCCTCCACCTCCTGGTATGCAGTCCTGCAGACATGCACTCAAAAAGTTCTGTTAAGTGTGTGACTCCAGGCAATTATGTGGTATTGTTGTAGACAGCTATTTGTAAGCAGAAAGTTTGACAGACAGGACTGTCTTTGCAATATGAAAGGGATAATAAAGACAGAAATGGTCTTAAGGGCAGATCCACATTCTAGGCCATGGTTTTCAATCACTGCATACATTTGGTGTCCATTCCTCCAGTGATAAAAAGTAAGCACAAGTACCATCTTTATTCATGTTGACTTCCAAGCATTTCTTCAGCCGACAAGCTCTACATTGGTTCCTGTGTGTCTTGTCCACTGGACAGCCTCCCTAAAACACAGAGATTCCTTTTGTGAAATGGGGACAAAACAGTGGTTCTCAATAAAGTACTTCTGGATCACCCAGCTAAGTTATACATACATCCCTCCCCTTTGGAGTAACCAACCCTATGGGCTCTATACAGTATTTCTATTAGTTAGCAAGTCAAGATTTTCTCCCATGGAAGTGCTTGAGAAGAGAATCTGAAGTAGGTTGTTCTAGAATTTCTAGATTGCCTTCAGCACTCTGGACAGCTACATTCACTCCCAAGCCATGCCTACTCTTCATAGTGCAGGTATCTGGATCTCCAGGATGCAATGACCAGCCCCTACTTTCTTACATTCATCTCCAGATCTCTGGCCCGTTTGCAGTCACACTTGTTTCTAGACCTCTTCCCGCAGTGTGTCCTTGCTTTTCACATTAATTGCATGCATCAGGTCACTCACACAGATCCAATTTTTGTCTGTGTGAAAGGCCTTTGTTGCCATGGGGGGGGGGAGAAGAAGGAGAAGGGGGAGAAGGAGAAGAAGAAGAAAAAAAAATGGATTTATACCCCGCCCTTCACTTGGAGTCTCAGAGCGGCTTACAAACTCCTTTCCCTTCCCCTCCCCACAACAGACACCCTGTGAGGTGGGTGGGGCTGAGAGAACTCTGACACAAACTGCTCTTTCAGGAACAGATGTGCCAGAGCTTGTGACTGACCCAAGGTCACATCAGCAGGTTCAAGTGGAGGAGTGGGGAATCAAACCCGGTTCTCCCAGATTAGAGTCCGCACACCTAATCACTACACCAAACTGGCTCAATAACCTGCCTCTCTGCTACCCCAGTCAGTCACTACCTAGCCAATTACATGGAAGGAACCTACAAAGAAATCCACCAAACCAGAACAAAATGGAGATGAAACAATAATCCATTGCATATAGATGCCTAATGCCTTTGTATATCATGGACACAGAGATCACTGTTTTCAAGTGCAGCTGGAGCAAAAGCTATAAAGTTAAAGAACACTCATAGATGCTAGGTGGGACACTATCACTGAACAGAAGCCGTTTGGGTTTAAAACTGAATGTGATGGGTGAAGCTACAGTGTGTGAGTGTGGGTGATGGGTGAGTGTGTGTGTCTTTGTGTGTGAGAGTGAGAGAGAGAGACTGGGACAGTTTAATGTAGACCATCCAAAAGAAGAGACAGGCCAATTTGTTCACTACTTTCACTTTAAAAATTTTGAAGAATGTAGACTGGATAAAACGTCAGGGACAAGTGACCCATCTTGATGGTTCAGCAAATGGACAAGTTGGCTCATGTTTTAAAGGAAAGGCTGGCCGCTACAGGTACTTACTTGGCATTTCTTATAGGGAAGGCAATGGGTCCAAGAAAATCAGCTTTGATGGCTTGGAAGAGGTGCAGGACGATTCTGTTGCCCCAGACTTCAAAGTGGACCCCACTTAAGTATATTTGGGAGGAGGAGATGAACGCGAAATTTTGGAAAGCACTTAAGGGGGAAGGCATAACTAGAGTTAAGGATATGTACAATTCTCAAGGGAATCTCCTACCACTTCATGAGCTGAATCAAAGAATAGGGGGAAATTATTGGTTAAATCTAAGGGGACTATCACACTTGATTAAACAAGATAGGTATATAGAAGCTATAAAAAGGGAAGACAACAATTTAGAACAGGTATTATATGTGGATGAAATAAGGAAAGGATTAGCAGGAAAAATTTACCTTGAATTGGTGAAAGATAAGGAGTTTATATTAAGAACCTTAAAAAATAAATGGAATAAAGAAAAACAAATAATCTCTGACGACATCAATAAGTTAATGGTGAATTTGAAGAAAATTAAATTAGAAAAATATAGAGAGCTTGAAAGAAAGATAATATGGAAATGGTATAGAACCCCTGCCCAATTGGCATATATGATTAAAGGTATGAAACCTAATTGCTGGCACTGCGGTGCAAAGGAAGGGTGGTATTCTCACCTCACCAAGGGTTAGAGATTTCTGGGAAAAGGTACGGGGGAAGATAGTAGGGTTATGTAAAGTGGATCTTAAAATAGATGGAGATCTATTATTTATGGGCATACTGGGAAATGGTAATATTGAGAGACGAAATCAGGATATTTTTAAAGCAATGTTACTAGCAGCGCATGCTGTGATTGCATATGGTTGGAAGGAGAGTTTGAAGTGGTCTTTAGATAGATGGAACGATTATTTATACAAATATATCCAGTCAGATATATTGGAATGTATTAAACAAAATAAGGTATGGGATGGAAAAATGAAGGTGATAAAAAAGAAATGGTCTATATACTTTCAGTGGGTAAATAATGGAGAAGCTAATTCCGTTATACTTGAAAAATTGAAAAAAATGTGCTCATGGTTAAAAATTTAATTTGTAGTTATGTGATGGCCACCTTGAGGGGGGTGGGATATAAAAAGGGGGAAATGTATCATAAGTGAATTGGGATGGTAAAGTAATGCAATAATAATTTATGATGCAAATAAAAAAATATTTAAAAAAAACTTGGCATTTCTTGAGCATATCATAGGACTGAATAAAGGAAACAATCCTACAGGTCTGCTTTTAAAATATAAAATATGTTTATTGCTTTAATTCTGATTTAATTTCCACTGCAGTGGTTTTGAACTGTCCTGTAGCTTTAATCTGCATCTGATTTTTTTTTTCCAAAGCAGAGGCCAAACCCAAAACCAGTTTTCTTGGTAATAAGTGTCACCGGTGTCACTTGTAAGGAACGCAAGTGAAGTGCTATTTCTTTTGATGTTCATGAAATCCACATCCTAAAGACCGAACACCACAAGCCTATAATGAATTGCCTTCAAAACACCTAACAAAGATCTGCTGGAAAAAGTAGCATAGGGGCTTCATTTTTAAGCACAAGGAAACTATACAGGCTCTAGTTCTGTTGCTGCTCCTGTCCCACACTGCATACTTCCACTGAGTGGGACTAGTTCCCAGAGGCACTCCTTCCCTAGAAAGAACATAGGAGTTTATGCTCAGCTTTAGATGCTTATGCAGAAGTGTGAGGGGTTGACTCACAACACTGAAAATGACATCGAAACCACTCTCTCCAGGCTCCACCCCCCAAATTTCCTGTTTTCTCAACACAAAGGTGACAACCCTTATTCTCTGAAACAAGCCCTGTCACATTCTTATTTTACTTAGACGTCGAGAAGGTTCGAAACATGAAATTACCCACTTCACTCCTCACCATCCAAGGTCGGGTGACCCCGGCGCTCTAAAGTCACGTGTCAATCAGGGCGTGGCTGATGAGAAGGGGCGGGTTTTACTCAGTTGGCCAATGGGAGGTTTTACTCAGAAGGGCTGGGCTCCAGCAACCTGTCTTTCCTAAATCAGCTAACTACAAATGAGTAATCATTACCCGGAATTGTTTTTGCTTTGTCGTGGACAAGGGGCTTCTCGATGCTTAAGCGGCTAAGTTTGTTGCAATTTCGTGGTTTACCTCCTCTCTTGCACACCGTGGGTTGAAGGAGCTGGCACAGACAGACTGAAATATATCTTCAGTGAAGCATCCAGAACTTCAGTGAGGGAAGTTGACAGTGCAGAATAACTCCTTCATTCCAACCTCTGCCCCACTGATTTTAATGACTTAGAGCAGGGGTGTCGAATTTATTTGTTATGATGACCGGATCGTACATAAATGAGACCTTGCGGGCCAGGCCATGTATGTCATAAAATGTAATGCCAGGTAGCAGAGATATAAACTTTATAAAGAACATAAACACAAAGGGTTTTTTTAACTTAAAACAAAAACATGCTTAAAACATTAGCACTCCTGCAATATTTTGTTTATTTAACAGTGTCTGATAACGGACACCTCTTGCTCTGAATTATTGCATCAAAATGTCTGTGCTGTTGCAATCCTGAGTATGCTGTTCAGGTGTGTGTCTGTAAGCTGCAAACCTATGATGATGCAGCAGCCGTGTTGAGTATTACAAGTTGAAAACACTCAGTATATCTGGGGTTAAATGTTTGTTTATGTTACTCACAGGAAGTCACATGTTTTTATTTAGCTGTAGAAAGCCCGGGAATTTTCTCCCTGATCTAGGAATTTGATTGGGACTAAAGTGTCAAGGTGTATTACCATTTCCCGTCTTTGTTCGGTGTTCTGAAGAAGAAGAAGAGTAGCCATAATCTTTCTCTTCTAGTCTTGTCTTTGTAGAGTAAGGATGTAGCAGATTTTGCTCTGTTGTTATTTTCATCCCAGTTACCCTTCCCATGCTAGAATTTAGTAAAAACTTTATATTTTAATCACACATGGACTCTGAGTCTGAATTATTTTACTCCGGCACTGCTGGACCATCTTATCTCTGCTAAATACCATTCTTTCAATATCTCACTATCACCCAACAAGCCCACAGCAGAACTGGACGAAGAAAGCCAGTTCCACTGTGGGCCAAATGTGGACTGGATGTCGCCTTACTGCCTCGAATTGCACTCAGAAACCCTATCATCCTGATCAGAGATATGCAACTGACCGCTTGTCTAGTTTACCGGCAAAGTACAAGATGGGCCATATTCACAAGATATTCGAACTGGTTAACAGGAAGGTGGGCATTTAATCGGTTTTCCTGTAAAGTCATGTTCATCAAGGCTTACTCAAGCAATGCCGTTAGGACTATTTTTTCCAAACCAGCTACCAAATCCAAGTAGCTGCTTTCATCGCGCTGCTTTCATAAATCCCTTGTTCCATGGATCACCTGGCAGACTTGAAGGCACCTAAAAGCCTCCCCCTTCAGATCTAAAAACCGAAACCGTCGAATTTGGAATCGAGGTTAGGCACGTCTCCACTGTGGAATCCTGCAGCCCTGGACACTCTGCCCTACAAACAAAGGACACTGATTCTGCGAGGAGTTATCCCCCCCCCTGCATTTTTCTGGGCGAAACGAACGTTTTCTGTGGCCGCAACAAGCAGAAATTCAACGGGTGGAACTGTTGGGTAATACAAGTTGAAAACACTCAGTATATCTGGGGTTAAATGTTTGTTTATGTTACTCACAGGAAGTCACATGTTTCTCATGTAACCAATGTTCTTTAGATGTGGATTGCCCGGGAATTTTCTCCCTGATCTAAGAATTTGATTGGAACTAAAGTGGCTTCTCTTCCCGTCTTTGTTTGCTGTTCTGAAGAAGAAGTAAGAGTAGCCATAATTGCTCTCTTCTAGTTTTGCCTTTGTAGTGTAAGGATGTAGCCGATTATGCTCTGTTGTTATTTTCAACCCGGTTACCCTTCCCATGCTTGAATTTAGTAAAAACTTTATATTTTAATCACACATGGACTCTCAGTCTGAATTATTATACTCAGGCTCTGCTGGGCTATATTATCTCTGCTAAATATCATTTTTTCAATATCCCACTATCACCCAACAGGAACCGCATCTGGATGCAGGGAAAAGCTTCACCCTCTTGCTGACCTGCGCGTGCTGCTCTCCACCGTTAGAAAGACAAGAGGGTACCTGCCGGGGAGGGGGAGGAGACAGCGACCTTCAGAGTCTTACACTGAAATCCCCGCGCCACAGGAGACGCAGACGCTGAGGTAAATCCCGCTGTGTTCTAAGTAGGCACAGGACGGTAGGCTTATTCTCAAGTACACGGGATGCAACTCGCCTGCCGTCTCCTCCTATGTATCTTTGTTCAGAAGTTCCGCTTGTCTACTGCAGATTAGTTCCCGGCAGAAGTTTATAGAAGGTTTAAGAGACTGATTTACAGTATAGTGATTGAGTCTCCTCTGATTCTTCGGGGAATGTGCCAGGGTCGAAACTAGAATGAACATTAGCCCCAAGTGTGTAGGCCAGGGGGTCCCCAACGAGGCAGGTGCCCGCCAGCTAGTATTTTTTGGAAAGTGGTGAGTCCAGGGGAAATCCTGCCCAGCAGGGCCTCTGATTGCCCACTGGAGATCTGATCGGCTGTGCAGATTAAGATAATAGTTCAGCAACAGCTGCTACCACAGTGTTGGTTTTATTCTCTCCGACTTCTCTATGCCAGTGTATGTTGAAAATTTGCTCCCCTAGGCCGCCTCTGCGCCTGGGCCGTCCTCGCTCTGTGCGTGGTTGGCTCGGCCTCCCGCAATGACCCTTTTTTTGGCCGTGCCCACCAGCCTGTGTCAGAATTCCAAAGCTGCCGCCCACAGGCTCAAAAAGGTTGGGGACCCCTGCGGTGGGGAGGGGAGGGGAGAGGGGGAAGCCGGGTATTTATTTCACAAGGACTAAGTTTGGGCTGGTCCTGGAGCCTCCTAGCTGCCTTCGAATCCTTCCGTTGGTACTGTCAGAGTTCTTCATACCAGAGCTACAACTTTAATGGGGGTAGGGAAGTCAAGTGGAGAGGAGCTCACAGCATCTGGAGTTTGTGGCTTGTTTTTAATTCATTGCTGCAAGCATGCTGAAAGGCTCAGAAATCCCCACGTGTTTTTTGTTTTAAATAAAGCCGTCCGTATAAGGAGACTTGCACCCTCGCCGAAGGGCGAAGAAGCCCCAGGGATCCCAAGGAGGCTCCCACGCAGGCCTCTGGGCGAACTAAGCAGCCGGGCTGGGGGAGGGAACCAGCCTTCTCGCTCTCTCCCTCTCAACCTTGGCCGCTCTGCCCGCGCAGCGCAGCCCAACCAGGCGGCAGAAGTGCTTGCACCACCAGGGGTGGTGGCACTTTTGTACGTGTGCGCGCGTGACCCCTAGTGGGGCTTGGACGTTTCAGTTATAATCTGATATAATCTGCCTCTGCGTCCCAGCCCTGGTATTCCTTGGAGGTCTCCCTTCCAAGTACTTGCCAGGGTCAGCCCTGCTTAGCTTCCGAGATTTGGCGAGATGGGTCTTGCCTAGCCTATCCGGGCCAGGGGTGGCGCTTTCAATGCTTCTGGGAGGGAGGGAGGGAGGGAGGGGGGCTGCAAGGAAGAACGGAGCAGGCTGTGATCCTTTACTCGCAATCCAGCGACACAGTGCAGGGTACCACGGCGAGCCTTTGTCACTGAGCTCTCTGTCTGCTGCGTGCCGAGGCTAGACCGCCTACGGACTCCTTTCAAGGGGAGCTCCACTTGTTGACCTCCTCCAGTCCAGCGCTATCTCCTGCCACCAGCAGGGCACTCAACTTACTTCCTCGAAGGTAGACCCCGCTGAACTCCATGGGACTCTTTCACAAGTAGGTGTGGAGAAAGGTGGGCTTGTAAAGAGCCTTCGGGCATCAGGGAAACGAAACACGGCCCTTGCCGTTGAGAGGCTTCTGCCTCAGCCGAAGGGGTTGGGAGAAGGGAGGGTACGGTAACTGGTACCTGGTTTCCAGATTTGCAGACATAAGTCCTGTTCCTTCGGATGCTTCGTTTGAAAAACCCCGAGCACCCATCGCAGGCGTAAACCCCATAGTGCTTGCCAGAGCTGCGGTCGCCGCACACTTTACACGGGATGTCTAAAATCCGGCCTGAAAACAGAAGGAAAGGCGAGAGGGAAAGTAGAAGAGAGTCAGAATAATGACCCTTTTGGGGGGATGGGGAATGAGGTCTGGAGGAACATTTGCGAAGCCAGCAGGCTGCCTTGCTTTGGGCTGCTGCCTCGCAACAGGCGCCAATCGGGGACATCCACCCCCCACCCACCCCCGTTGCCGGAACGGCAGCCGGAGTCCCAGCGGGAGAAAAGTTCGCTCTACGCGTGCGGCCCGATCCGCGGCTCCTTAGGAAGCACACGACCCAGTGATCTCTCAGCGGGGCCTGCTCCTAAATCAAGGCTCGCAGCCGTTAGACTGGACTCTGCCAGCCGTCCAGCCAGGGAAAGACGCGCGCGCAGGGTGGGCGGCACAGTGCTTTCCCCCCAAAGTCAGTTCCAGCTCAACCGATTCATGTTTACTCACAAGCAAGCCCAGCTACTTTCAGTGGGATTGTCAGCTAAACTTGTTTTAGGGGCACAGTCAAACTCGGAAAGCGCCCCCCACCAGCCCAACTTCAAGGGCATTTAACTGAGCTTAACATCGCAATCCTAAACGCCACTATGCCAGGCGATTTGCGAACGTGCATAGGATCGACCCTGCCCTGCAAACCTTGTCAAAGGTCTTACGCTTGGCTTGCCCGGTGCGGGCGGGGCCCTCACATTCTTAAACAGGGTAGTCTGCCCGAAAGAGCCCCTTACCCGCAAGTAATCGGATCCTCAAAAACCTAACAGGAACAGACCTAAAGCGATCCTTGCAAACATAAACTTTAGCCGCAGCTCAGGTGCCTTCTCATGCCAACACACTAACGGTAGGTTTCATTAATCGGAGTTTGCTTCCTGGGACTTCCTAGGTCGAGGAGGGCCTCGAACCGTCAGAGTCTAACAAGCGCCACCAGTGCTAGTTTACCTCTCGCGTTTGAGTGGGTTTGGGTTACTCACAAGTCAAACCAACTGAGTCTGACTGGGTTTACTCCCAGGGAAGACAGTTCGGTTACTACGGGGTATTAAAAACCGGCAACAGGAACAGTCGAGATGCAAACAGGTGGCTCTTGTGGCGATGTCTCTTTTCCCTCCTCTTGGCGTCTCCAACACTCCCGGCCTAAACATATTATACTGAAGGAAAGTCCCTGGAATTAAATGGACTTTCCGAATAAATGCAGTATTACGATCCGCCAACAAATTTTCTTTTGCCTTTTATAACTTAAGCAACGAAGAATCAAATTAAAAAGAGAGCGAGCGAGCAATAGTCTGACCACTGAGAGTCTCCTAAGCCCTTCCCAGGGGGAACAAGCCTGTTCCCTCCCTCCCTTCCGCCCTCCCTTCCGCCCCTCATCGCTTCCAGCGGTAGCCCCCACCCCCCGCTCCGAAGCCAATGAGAAAACTCGCTCTGGGAGAGGTCAGGCGAAACTGACTCGAAACAATCCCAAACCATTTCGAGGGCTTTCGCCTGCCCCCGACTGCGCTCCAGCCTTCCGGGGGGGGGGGGGGGGGGGAATGTCAAGGAGAGGCGCTTCTCTAGTCTAGCCCCCGGGCGCCTGGATCGCACAGTGCCGCTCCACTGCGACGCACGGAGGCTTCTAGAAGCCGCCTTGTCACCCCCCAGACTCGAGGCGGAAGGCGGAGCTTCAGCGGGATTTCCTTGCTGCAGTCCTTTCCTTCCTTCTGTCCTTCGTGGCCACCCTTTCCGAGTCCGCCGGGAGAGAAGCTCGCCCAACGCCGGCGGTTTGCTCCCGAGGGATCCGACGCTGGGAGCGAAGGGCTGGACCCCACCGGCCCGCTCGGAGGCTCCTTGCCGTGAAGTCAGCGCGTGTGCAGCACAGGGGGACGCGGCGGCAGTCGGAAGCGGCGGCGGGCTCCTCCATCCCCCGGCCGGGCAGGGAAGCGCCAAGGCAGTCCCGGGCGGAGGAGAGGTGCCGCGCAGCCGGTTTGCATCGGCGGATCTACCACCCGGAGGAATGTCCCCCCCACACCCGGGACCCAGCGAAGCGCGGCCGTCCCCTGACTAGCCTGGCGCGGGGCTTGGATGCCGAGCCGGTTCTCCCGCTCGCTCCGCGGACAATGCTGCCCTCGGCAGGCCAGGCCTCTCCCCCCCCCCGCCTTCCGGCAGACTCCGTGGGGACATTCAATAAAAGTGTTAACTTCTTGATCCCCCGCCACCTCCGACGGCCTTCAACCAGCGCGGGCTGCCCGCGGCCTCCCCCTCGCCCCCCTTCCACGAAAGGCCACCGCCGCTCTGGGCCGGCCGGGGCCTGGGAGCGCTACGGGCGCGGGGGGTGGGGTTCGGCGGATTAGGCTGGGCTGGGGGGGCGGGAGGATCGGCCTGGAAAGGCAAAGGGAGAACAAGGGGGGGGGCGGGGGGGGAGCAGCCTGTGGAGGCGAAAGTCGGGCGGGTGGGAAGCAGTGTTCCCTCTAAGCTGAGTTAGTGTGAGCTAGCTCACAGTTTTTTAGCCTCTGGCTCACAGATTTTTGTCTTAGCTCAGGAAGGATGGCTCCAGAGCAAACCAATTTATGCAGCAGCCAAATCGCTCACTCACAACATTAATGCTAGTAGCTCAGAAAGTAGAATTGTTGCTCACAGAACTCCATAGCTTAGAGGGAACATTGGGAAGGTAGGCGAGGAGAGCGGGGCGAGTCGGGCTGAGCTTCTTCGGGAGCGGTGTAATTGCACGCCCTCCTGGCCACCTGCCTCTTGGGTCACCAGTGACCCGTCAAAAAGAGTGGCCTGGGAATTGGCGTTGCACACAATGGCCACCGGGGAGACCACTCGACTCCCCGCCCCCTCCCAGCTCTCGGCCTTCCGCGGCTCCAGCCGGGCCACACTCAACGGGAAGGAGGGGGAGTTGGAGACGCCAGCGGAGTTCTGCCCGGGCGCTGGAGGAGACCCCCTCCCCCCCCCACAGGTTCTTGTGATTCCCTGCCGCGGACTCCGGGCTGGCTGGGCGACGCGGTCCTCAGACCCCTGCGACGCATCGCGCACGACTCGACTCTGGCCTCCGCGGCGGCCTGGCCCAGCACCCGGTGCGGATCCGTCCCGCTCGCTGGACGGAAGGCCGCCGTTCTGCCCTGCAACCCTCGGCGCGCCGACTCGGGAGGAAGCACCGCGCAAGTCCCCGCTGGTCTCCGAGGAGGAAAAACCGGGCATCGGGCTGGAACTGCTGCGCGGGGCTAAACTTCTTCTCACAGCGCCTCCGAGATGGACGGGGGAGCCCGAAGCCTCCCAGCTACAATTCGAAGGCTACTTCTGCTCCTTGAAAGTCAGGCCCGTCCAAGTCAACGGGATTCAATTCGGAGAAAGCCTCGAAGTACCTCCCAAGTACCGTTATGAGGCGATCGAAGTGCGCTGCCGTCCAAACACGTGTAGATTTGCCCCGAACCCCTGGGACTTGCCTTTCGCGGCGGTGAAACACGAAGAAGAACTAATACCCGCGGTTCGAAAAGCACACCACACCACACACACACTCTTCCCCTCCTGTCTCACCTAATCGAAGGAGGCTGGTGTAGCTTTGCTGTATATACAGAATATAGAGTTGTTGTAGGTATAGAAGAAGGGAAATACCAGAATATAGATTTTTCTTTAAAAGGTGTGGTTTATATCCACAATCTACATATTTCGAAGCAGTCCCTCTTATGTAAAATGTGTTGCGGAGCACCACCTGCCCCGAATCAATGTTGCATGGGGCTGTTGTTTTTCTGCTGAAATACCTTGGTTGTAATGGGGGGGGGGGGGTTGCTTCCAAATACACGCCCGCGCGCACACCGTTTTTAGGGTTAGAAATACGATGCTCTGCTGGGCAGCAAGGCTGCCGAACATGGCGGAACTTCTGAGTCAAGAGGCAAGATGCAAGAGAAGGGAGGAAATATTTCTGAGCGTGAATATATGTCCTATAACAACAAAACGCCTCGATTGTATATTGTGACAAACTGCTAATGTGTGACTGGCTATTCTGCCTGAAACTCTGCTGGCACCCCAACTTTTCCATAACTTCAGTTGCCGTTTGCTCCGTGCCAGTCGCCTGAGTCGCTGCCTGCAGCGAGCTGATCGACTCCCCTTGCTTCTGCCCGCCGAGGTCCTGCCGGGCACCTCCGCCGGCTCAGGCGGGACAGATTCCTTCTCGGAATCCCGTCGATTCCGCTCATCCTACCTGTTGATTCTGCTCTGTCCCCGCCGTGCGCAGCCTGCCCCGAGGACTGCCCCTCCAGGCCGCGGCCTTGGAAACGTTTGCTGCACACGTCTGCTTCTTCCTCTCTTCCCACCGGCACACACAGCCGATGTCTCAGCCTTACATTCCGATTGTAGGATCGCCTCCTCCTGCGCCCTACAGGCTTCTTATGGCTCGACCTCCACAACATACCAACAGAGCGTAATTAACCAGAGGCAATCCGGGCAGAGTTCAGGGCCCACTGATGGCCGTGGGGAGATCTTTCAGCGGGACATGCCGGACACGGGTGGAGCTCTCCCTGTTCCAAGCTGTCCCCCCTCCTTCCCTGAAGCTCTGCTGGCATCTGGGGTGGGTGGGGGTGGAGGCGGAGGCAGTCTCCGGGCCCATTAAGGCCGCCCCAACCGCCAGGGCTGCTGTGCTGAGAAAAATTCCTGGGCCTCCGGGGGCTGCCAGGCGAGCGAGGCAGCCCGGTTAACTTGACACGAGGTCAGCGGCTAGCAGATTAACCCTGTTTAAAGGCCCCAGAAGTCTAACGGGAAAGACAAACGGGGCCGGGGGCTGCGCTGGGAAACCGTTTGGAACATCCCTCGACGGGGCGTCCCGGGGGGCTTTTTGTGCCTCTTAATTGCTTAAAGATATATGGCAGCTTCGATTACTGTAATTACCATCAAAGGCTGTTGAAAGAGGTTAGGCTGCTTTGCGAGGACTCCTCGGCGGGGTCTGATTACCACCCAAGCAGAGAGATCACATCTGACATCACTCCAGCCCAGCCTGGTGGAAGGGAAAGCGGAGCCAGCGCCGGGCCCAGTCGAGCAGCCGCGGCCAACTGCACCTCCTGCGGCTCCCCGGCCTGACAGGCCTCGGGTCAAGAGGCAGAGCCGCCCAGAGCCCGCCGGGCACCAGCGCCGCCCCGCGACCCGCGACCCTGCTGCTGGGGCGCCCGGGCTCGGAGGCCGATAAAGCGCTCCCCTCAAAAATCAAGCCCTGGGCCGTGCAATCCTATGCCTGTTCGCTCAGACGTTAGCCCCCCTCGAACAACAAGGCAGTCTACTCCCAGAAGCCCGTGCCTACGATCGCATCCCGTTTTGCCGCCTGAGAAAATGCCTGGGATTGCAATGGGATCTATTTCAGCGGAAGCATATTCTACCACAAGCCCCCGGTCGCTAGGCAGAGGCCGGCAATGGCAAACCACCTCTGAACGTCTCTTGCCTTGGAAACCCGACGGGGTTGCAGTGAGTCGGCGGCGCCTTGACAGCACTTCCCCCAAAGTCTGTGTAGGACCAAGCGGGCAGTCCCGTCCGAGGGCTTTTAACTCGGAAGCAAGTTTCACTGAGTTCGGCCAAGCCGGTCTGACCAGGATCGCAGCCTTGAAACGCGCGCCTCCGTGGACATCCAGAGGACCGTCCAAACGCCTTCCGGAGGTTGGGATAGGAGCCCTCGGAGCTGCAAAGACAGCGGGTTAGAGCCGACGCTCAGAGAGCTCAAGTCTAGCCTGGCTGGCGGACTGCCTCCGTCCCTCCCGGGGCCCTTCGCGCCGAGGGGAGCTGTGCCCTCAAGGATGGACCGCAGCTCGGGCGGGTTGCTGTGAACGACCGCCGAACCGCCGGAGAAAATAAAGACTCCGGGGGTGCAGCGGCAAAAATATATAGGATTCGAAGCAGGGGTTGTGCCTGACTCTTAAGCGGCCCATTTTAGTCGCGAGGGAGAAGCTGACGGGACACCTTTCTTCCGACAGGTCCCCCGGAGCGCGCTCCCTTGCAACGGGCCGCATCCCCGCCTTCAACAGTAGGCACAGGTTAAATCCGCAGCAATTCTGCGGGAAGTGATATAGCTTCGAGTTAGTAGGAAAAAGCAAGCGTCCAGGAGCACCTTCAGGACTAACAAAATATGTGGCACTGGCAGGGTAGGAGCTTCCGTGAGTCTCCGTTCACTGCTTCAGATAAGGAGCCACGGGACTCTTGCCCTTTTCTGCTGCTACAGACGGACTAACGCGGCCACCCATCTTGATCTAGCTTCGAATTAGGTTTGGGAAATCTTTTTATTTTATTTTTTACGGACGGGAACGTTAAAGCTGCACCCTCTTGGCCATTAAAGCCATAATTTCGACCACCACGAACACAGTTGAGGCTCCAAAGCCTCGAGGGTATTTGGGGGGCTTCGATTTTGGATCTCGTCATTTGGATCGGTTCTCGGCCAGGACCAAAGAGCCGGTCCGAACGGGAACCGACCGACCTAGGCGTCCCCGGCTCTCTCTCTCCCTTTCTCTCTCTGGAGTGGCTCCCCCCGCCGGGCTGGCCGCGCCGCCAGGCCCAGAGCAGCGCCAACCGAGCCGGCGGCCACCAGCCCCTGGGCGAGGAGGCCGCGGGGCTTCACTCTCACGGCGCCTCGCTGAGCGTGGCAGGCGGGGAGAGCTGGGGAGCGACAAGGCCTCCCCCGGTGTCGTTTCCGCCGCTCACTGTGTGAGCCTTCCCCCGAAGCCACAATGTCCCTCGGCGACCATTTGGGCAACCCTTCTCCCCTTCCTCTTGCCTTCAGCGTTGCACAGATTCAGCCTACACGGCCCGGAAACGCTTTCCAGAGAGAAAGCAAAGAATCGGTTGCTAAAAGCTTTGCTCTCAGGTCCCTCCAGAAGACTGCTTCCCTTCCCACGCCGGCTTTGGGCACCTCTAAAATATTAAATCCTTCAGCGGTGGGGCTGGCTGTTTTCTTCCTTGTTTATTTTATTTAAAAAAAACACTTTCTTGATTACAAATGCAGGTGATCTGACTCTACTGGACAGTTCTGTTTTCAGGCAAAACCCTTTCCTGGGAGCGACTCGAAGTCAAGACCACTTTCCTGGTTTTGGCTTTTCCTGAGAAAGTTTTGAATGGGAGAGGAGACGGAGGGGATCAAGGACAGAGAACTATGAATAAAACTTAGTCTGAAGCCACAACAGCAAACAGAGAAGAAGAAGAAGAAGAGGAAGAGGAAGAAGAAGGGAGGAGAAGAAGAAGAGGAAGAAGGGAGGAGAAGGAGGAACAAAGGCCAGAGAAGCCTGACTGTGATTGCAGCAGTTTTAGAAGACTCAACGCACGTGTTTCTCCGCTACTCCCCCATCCCACCCCTCCGGCGTTTTTTAAAAAATGTAACCAAGGCACCAGGATCTGGCTTTAAACTTTAAAACGGATTGTCTCCGTTACCGACTCTCATGCCGGTCACAACAAGCTCCCCAGGTCCCTTCTGGGATTGGGACTTCTCGCTTCCGAAGGCGACTCCTGGTCCGAGCGGTCAATCAGACTTTGCCGACGAGTCCGCGCGCGCGCGATGTATCACACTCTACAGAGAGAGAGAGAGAGAGAGAGAGAGAGAGAGAGAGAGAGAGAGAGAAATTCCCCAGTTATGAGGTGTACCCGGATTTTGGATTAAGGGAAATGTGACTTTTAAGTTCCTCTTTTGGAGGATTATGTTGTAGAACTGGAAATGGTGTGCTAAGTATTCCCTTTAAATCCGCTTTCCGCGGAGCCCGGCGATTCTGTGGCATTTGCAACCCTCGGAAGTTTCGGGGTTTTTTTCGAAAGGAGGGAGAGCGCGTTCCCTTCGACGACCGAGGGACGTTCCCTTTTGCGCGGACCCCCCCCCTTTCTCCGGAGCCGCTGCACACAACTCTCCCCTACTCCCCCCCCGCCGCGGCCCTCCGTCCTCCGCCTC